GTGGTGGTCGGAGAAGCGGGGTTGTATTGAAGAAAGGAGGGTGAGGAAGGCGAGCACTGACCATAGGGGGAGAGGGGCTGCGCCAGCAGAAGGGGAGGATGAAAGCTGTGCTGAAAACAGAATGGCTGGGAGAGGACCTGACCCTGAGTGAGGGGGTGGGGGTCAGGGAGGGCTGCTCCAAGGGAAAAGTTTGGCACCGTTGGAGATGGACATCTCAAATCTTGGTGGTAGATAAGGTAAGGTGCCTGCTGTTAGGCCGGGTAGCCACTAAATCTGCCAGGCTTTAAGGCAGAGTTGTTACTGAGGTGTGTGACTGCCTGGGACCGCTGATGGGGCACCAGTCTGTTCCACTGCTGAAGCTCAGAGGACAAGGGGGTGTTTCAGGTGAACCAAACAGGGTGCTGGGAGTGGGATGGGGAGAAGCCTTAAACGGCTGACCTGCTAAAGTGGGTGCAAGACCCTCTCCTACTTGTGTTTGAGAGGGTTCAGCAAAGATGTCACTGTCGCCTTTTTCAGAAACAGGTCCCTGAATGTCTGTCCATAGCACTGTTCTGTTTGTTTTCCTGCCAACTCAGGAGTGTCTGTAAATGTAAATACTGATACTTGCCAAGTGGAGAGCACTGATTAGCAGTCAAAATATTTTATGTGGGAATTGTGGATACACCGCACTTCTAGAGAGAATAAAATAGAGTTATTGCATGTCCTCCCATTGGCTTAACATTAATATCTGTAGTGCTGCGCTTCAGTGTTTTCCTTCCTTTGTCTCTCTTTGAATTATAGATGTTTTAGCTGTAGCTGTTTGTTCTCTTGGCAACTTATAAATACTCTGCCTGACTTTTCCTTTAGTGCAAAGTCTTTCCCTTGTTTACATCACTTTGTTAGCTGCCACTGGCTCAAACATGCCCTCTGTTGCTTTTGGTGTGAATGAAGCTATCTTTTGATCTTTCAGATATGCTTTGTGGAAAGTTTTTGTTCTTGTTTTGCATTGCCTCCCCTAGTGCTGGGTAGATGGTAGTGAAGGCAAGACTGGTCTTTTTGTTATCTTTCTGCTGGATGAAGCTCCACCTCAATATTTACTTGGAGAGGTGCAGAAATCCTTTTCATAATTCTCTCTGTCCCACTGCCATTATTGCCATCCACTTCTCTCCACTCTTCCTTTTTCGCTTCATCAGTTCTTTAAAAACACTGTCTTTACCAATAAATGATACTGAATCATGATTCAAATAAATCTCCTGCATGCATATCCCAAACCAGCGATCCTTTATCAATTTAATCATTATTTATCTGCTTATAATAAATGTTTTGCAATCACCTGCTGTAAAATGTCTGAAATAGGCGTGCCGGAAGATCCGTACATTTGCACACGTGTCCATTGATGCTTTTGGGGCTACAGGGTGTGCAGAGGACTGTCCAGATGCGTTTTTATTTCAGGACCAGAGATTCTGGGTGTATCTGCGCTAGATATTACTGCAGTTTATGTAAATATATACAAACTGTCTCCAAACTAGTTTGTTAAGGAACTGTTAGTCAAGTAGAAGCAGTAGCCAGGAGCTCAGCACACACAGGTATGTGAGTATGTGGCCAGCTGCTCAGAGATAGTAGCTGCTACCTATGAACTCTGCCGTACCATGGCCGTATGACCAAGAGCCTCCAAGCAACTTCAGTGTGTCTGCAGCTGCAGTTACAGGTTTAAGTGCTCTTGAACTTACTCATGAAAACAACTTGACCCTTTATTTGCTACACAGAGTACTATGAATGCATATGGTGTCATATGAGTACATAATCCTTGATATACTGCTGTAATGACATTTTGTTTCCCCCATCATTTTTGGCATCAATTGTCGGCTTGTTTTAGGGATGTGTTCATGATGGTGTCAGTCAGCCTGAAAAACACCAGCTGCTTAGGAATGTTAATGTTTTCATTTGCAAAATCATGCACTGATTTGATGAGCGTCTGTTTTTATGGCCAGCCCTGGATACCTGTGGCTCTGCTCAGAGAGTCTAAGTAGGTTACTGCACAGGTAGCTTTCTAGGGCCAGCCCGAGAGATGCTCCGGGCATAGGAATGAGGTGGAATTTAGATTAGCTGAATACGGTCCTGTGCGTCGTCTTTTTAGCTGGAGTTGAATGCTCATATTAGGAGGAGCTGTAGGCTCAGCACCTGTTTGAGGTCCAGACTGTTCCTTAAAGAAATTAACTCATGAACAAAACCACTGGAAACTCCTGCCTTTTCTAAACTAGCGTTGTTCTCAAGAAATTAATTTTCCCCCATGCCAGCTAATGATCTAGGCTGATAGACTGTTAGATCATAAAATGAAAACTCTATCTTTATTCATCCTTCATACAATGAATACTACCTTAAAATTTACAGAAGCACTGTACCTTATTGTTGAACAGAAAGGCCTCTCTGCCTTCAGCTGCTGCTAACACTGTACTAGAGGCTTTTTTCTACAGCTGCTTTTCATGGTGATTATCCTGTTGCTTTCGACCAGTGAAGAAAGTTTCCAAAGAACAGGGTTTTTACTTCGGAATCAGCCAGATGGTATAAAACAGGAGGCATCTTTATGTGCGGCTGGACAGATTAGCTCCACTGAGTTTTGGATATTGAATAAGTGAAACGGCTGCTGCACCTGGTTTCTTTGTGAGTGAGGTGTTTAACTGGTGTACTTCATTACAGCCCCAGTGAAGTCAGCGTGGCTGTTTTTACTTGCATTGGAGAGAGATTTGGCCCGCCATGCTCACAAACTAAGTATGGCTGAGCGCCCTATATTATATCGTCGAAGAAATGCAAATGTTGCCATCAAAGCCTAGCAAACCAAAGGAATTTATCAAAGATGGAGTAATGAGTACAGAGTGTTTTCCGTCAGCTCAATCTCTTTCCTCTTTGGTGTATCTGTGACACTTGGGGCATGCAAGACCTTATATAGTAAAGGCAAGTATTTGTTAGACTGCCAGGAACAGGTTGTTGCTATTGAGAATGGCTTTGAGAATTTTTTTCTGAAGTAGTTTCCTCAACTTGAAAATCACTTTTGACTGATGTTTTTCCCTGTTAGTCTTACAAAGGGCGCCCCTCCAACATGAATCAATAGAAAGGAGCCCAATGTCAGTAAAAGCTCTGCTTTTCTTCTTCATTTGACACACAGGAGTTGGAAAAGATTTTAAACCCGGGAAAAAGTGGCAGTTAAGCCACAAAATCGTCTGTTTGGCTCAGAGCTGTATTGTACACGAAATTACTTTAGCAATTTTCAAACTGATTACGCTGAAGTTGGTCGTGCCCTTTTCAGCTTGAGTTATTGATATGAGACCCATCTTTCTTAACAGCTGCTATTTCAGTATGCTAAATGGAAACAATTGATGCAGGGAAGAGCTGATGCTTCGTGCCATTCAGAGTTTTCCAGCACCCAATATGCTGATGACTGCATGAACCAAAATTCAAAGCCATTAAACAGGCCGTCACTTTAACAGTACAGGTGGCAGCGACAAAAGCACAAATTCAGGAAAGTACAGCCTGAGCTAATTAATAACTGTTTTCTAAAATGCATTAACAAAAGACTCCCACAGCCTCTCCCTGTTGCCTTTACTAATGAGACAGGACTGGATTAATGCAGTTAAGAAAATCTCCTCAGTCTCTGAAGTAGTCTTCTGATTGCATATCTGGGACAGTTTCTCTAAGCAGCTTTTGGTTATTCAAAGTTATTGCTATCACCTTAAAAAGTGAATTATTCTTAGCCAAGTGTAAAAGGAAGTCTGTTGTGGAGCTTGTTTTGTAGATCCTGATCTTCTGTAGTGGTTCTTTTAAAAGCCCCAGGCAATATGAAAGCCTTGGGGTTTTTGATTGATGTCAGAAATCATCCCAAAATATTCTTCCTTGCTTTCTTTGATTTTTATTTTATTTTATTTTATTTTGATTCATAGAGTGTTTAAACTTTTAAACCTTTGCTTCATTATCCTTTTAGGGTCAGAATATCGCTTGGGCTAGCATGCTATTTTTGGCTTCGAAGGGGTCTTAGAGTCTCAGCTTTGATTCAGAGTCTTGACTATTTTGCACTTGGTTTCTGGCTCAAAGCAGAGGCTTTACAGCCCCTGATTTAATATCAGCATATTGATGTAATTGAGGTTTACATGGGAAATTGGGATCTTATTCTCCCATAAAAACGTCTTGCTGGCTGTAGTTACAGCTAGAAATATCTCAGGGCTGAATGATTTACTCTAAGGTCTTCCTCTTGAGCTCCCAGTCCATTAAGGCTGTTCCATCTTTGCAAGCAGCAGGGGGTTTTTTTAATTTTTTTTTTTTTTGTCCTGTGATGGGATATGCAGAATGTCAATTAGGAGAAAGCTCTGGCTAACCGTTTACCACTAGAGGGCATTGACCATTCTCGTTAATTTTACTCTCTTTCTGGAAACGTTGCAGGAGTAAAGTATTCCCCCTTTATAGATTTTTTGTATCACTGTGAAGACTCCTACCTTCTGCCACAAAAAGCTGGAGTCAGATTGGCAGGCTATATTATGCATGCATCCTAGCAGATATTCTGCAAAGCCAAGCTAGCTCTATTTGTTGTGCTGCTTGCTATTTAGAGCTGAAGAAAAATTCAAGTGTATCAACACTAACGCTTAACCCACTTGTTGTTCTTGTTTCATGTCTCATAGGTTTGGGTTGGGTGTTCCTGTTATTCTGAGAAACTCAGAAGAAACAGAATCCAGCACAAGAGTTTTGAAAAAGCGGATGAGACAAGTGAAGAATCCTTTTGGGTTAGAAATCCCTCATCCTGCTACAGCTTCAGTAACAAGTCAGTGGATTTCTGATGTGCTTGATTTTTGTCAGTTTGGGTTCCTGAACTTAGTACTATATTTTCTTGCTCTCACCGTTTTTGTTTATCAAAATTCCTCAGAAACATGCTTCCTTTCATCATTACAACAGAAATAATTTTTACACAGCTTATAAATGTGGTGCTTTTAAAAGTGAAATGTTGGATATTTAAGTACAGTTTAATTCTTATTAATGAAACACTTCCTGCTATAACAGATTTTTAAGTAACAAAAACATTTGCAGATTACCAGGTACTGTGGGCGTTTTTGTAAACTTTACAGAATTGTATAATGATATAGAATTCATTATAGAATATATGCCACCCACTTAACCTAAGTCCAGCGGTGTTTGGAAGTGCACTACTTTAAAAAAAAAAATCATTTTCCTCTCTTTCTATCTGTGCTTCAGTGGAAACTGAGTTTAAATATCTATTTGGATCAGAGTTCAAGTAGTTCCTAACATCCTTGAAATCACCCACATAGGAAGTGAAATTCATGCCCTTCTACATCATTGGGGAGTAGTAAGCAAGGCTGAGAATCTTCCACCCACACAGATGTGGAGCCTTCCTATGAATAAGGAAAGGGCTGCAGCAGTTTTGCATCTCCCCCAACATAAAAAACCCAACCCCAACAAACCCAGCAACTTAGTCTTCAGGTAACTTGGATTTTTCAGGAGGTTTGAGCACTTGAATTTGGTGGGACTTTTCAAGAGTTCTGCTCTTGAAGTGTTCTAACAGTACAGTAAGTGTTAGAAGTTAATGGGTTGAGTACTTGATTTTTAGAAAAGAAATGGAGCGCATAGATCCTCTTTTTATCTTCCCTCTGCGTGATCGAGAGGGCCTTACTCTTTGAGACCAGAGAGGGTGTTGTAGGCCAGTGATCCAATTAATACCATTATCTAAAGAGGGAATGGACTTTGGGCTAGGGGTTGTGCTCTTGGGTCTGCCAGTGAGTGTGTAAAATGTTACCAGAAGTTAAAATTTACCTTTCATAAAATGCACATGCTACTTCTGTTAGCTTAATCAGCCATTTTGTCTCCTCACACCCACTTCCTCATCTCCGTGGACTTTCGTAAGCACTAAACCTAGTCTAAATTTTTAGAAGATCAGGTTGTAATGATAAAAATCTGGGACACTGAAGTTGTTTTCTGCCTGTTGCCCTTTAAGAACCTACATGTAGCAGTTCCAGAATTCCTGCACATTGGTGAGTTAATGAAATCCTTATCTTCTTTCTACAAGAGGGTATAACACTGACACCTGATTGTCTGGAAGACTGTATTCTTACATGCTATTGGGGCTGCAGTGTTCAAAAACTCCACGAAGCGTTGCAGAAACATGTCTACTGCTTCAGAATAAAGACTCCTCAGGCATTAGAGGATGCTCTGTACAGCGAATACCTCTATCGACAACAGTACTTGTATCCTTTTTTAAATTGTTTTGACAAAATATGCTAATTTGTTGGCACTGTTGAGACTTGTGAACACTCGGCAGTTCTTGGCACAATATATTTCTGAACAAACATGATGAAAAATATTCTTTATGCAAACGTCACATTTGTCTACAATTGCAGCCACACTGATTGTTTTCCTTGACACATATAAAGCATTAAAAAAAATGACAAGGAAGAAAAATATTGTCAGTTATCAGAAGATGCTCAAGTTGTCGATTTTGGCCCGGTGCCTAGATCTCGCTATCCATTGATAGCATTGTTGACGTTAGCTGATGAAGAAGACAGAGAAATATATGATATTGTAAGTAATATAAGAATATATTTTAGGGTCAATGTATTTAGGGTCTGAATGTTTCAGGAGACGGGCTTGAATAAAACGGCTTCCTTTCCCTGTCCGCCAGAATTTGGTCCCTAACTTCATCACTGATGACTCCAGGGGAGCATGGCAGGAGAGCAAGGATAATTGTTATATAAAAATTATGTATGCCATTCAAAAGATGCTTATGATTTTCACAAAGCTCGTATCTGCAGAGGTCTCTCTGGTAACCCCTGTGGTCAGATGAACTAGGGTTGTGGTAGGTTAGTAAGGTATTACTCTGATTTTTCCGATCACGTAAACCTGTGGTGGAGCTCTTGCGCTGATACGGTCTTTTGGATTGCTGTTGGCAAGGTAGGAGGATTTTTTTTTTTTAGTGTCTGGCACAGATATTTGAGCTGATTGCTGACTTGACTGTTAGGAACACAGAAATTACCTTTCTGTAAGAGGCCCGAGTCTACGTAATGCAGTACATTATGTCTCACAGTAGCCAGCACCAGGTCATTTAGAGGAAGGTGTGAAGGTCTTGCAGTAGACTGATATGAGATACTCAGCTCCCCAAAAAGGTCTCCTCCTAATCTCTTATAGTTAAAGCAGCTTCAGCCTTGTCACATGCAGTTCAATATCCTTTCTAAACTCTAAATTGACTGATTCTTTTTTGGAACGATTTGGGACATGCTTTTATCTCCCATCTTTTCATTTGGTTGATAATCTGATAGCACTAACTGCTTGAACAATAATACAAATGAACTCGGAAGCAAATTGCCTAAATCCACTGAACACTTTTCCATACATTCATCTGGAAATTGTTTGTGATCACACTGGTGCCTAAGAAATCTGTTCCCTTTCCAAGTGATCCCTGTCCTTGGCTTCTTGTCACTTGACCTTAGGACTGCCTTCCTCCCTCCTGTCCCCACTCGAGATCCTCCCCGCCTCCAGCTATTTCCCAGATTAGTACATCTATGTATGCTTAGAGCTCAGATTAGTTTAATATGAAGAGACTGTAAATTTCATATTTGAATGTGTTTGACATTATCATGGACATGAATCTTTAACACCTCTCTTTTGTTCCTTAGCACAGAAGAAAGGGATGGAAGGAGAGTGAGGGAGGTATTTTTCCTCTGGTTTTGGAGAAAAGGAACGCAACTAGAATCTGTTACTATGGTCAAAGGAGCAATTCCACCTGAACTTGTTGCCAGACAAATGTCAGAATTGCATCTGTTGTTGTTGAAACAAACTTGTAAAATATAAATATAGTGTGGAAAGGGATCTTTGCCACTGTGGCCAGTATGGTATTACCGCATTATTCTCACATCAGTGCATCAAGCTCCATCTTGAATTATTTTTTTGTGTCTGTGCGTCCATCACTACAGATGGTGTTCCAGTATCTCTTTTCTTGGGGGGGGGTGTCTAATTTTCATCCTAACTGTATTTGTGACCAGATCGTACCTATTTAGTTTTGTGCCGTAATTTTCCTCCAGCTGCAGAAAATTAGCATGACCATATATAAGAGTTACAGAAATCATTTGAAGACTGGCAAGGCTAAAGTGGAAGAAGGCTTAGATCTCAGGCCTGTGTATAAACCAGAAGATTGAGAAGTAACTTGATTATGGTGTACAAGTGTTTACAAAGAGAGAAAATACCTGGTGCTCAAGGGGAAGGGGTTCTATAATCAAACAGCATAGCATTTCTACTATATCATAGTATCACTGTATATGTTTCTGTGCTACAGGACGGCATAACAGAGGAGACAGTAGCTTGAAGATAGAGATGCTCACGTTAGGAACTGGTCCCACTCACAGTTAAAAAGTTGCCTAGGCGTGTGAACAAACTATGAATTGAAGACATGCGTCGTCATTGAGAAAGCACTTATCTTATGGTGGGATGACGTAATACAAATACACTGAGAACCGCTAACTTTTAAACTCTTATTATCAAAACACACAATCTGTCATTTGAATGGCGTTAAGGATTTAATGGCTTTCAGGTTCCAAAACAAAGCTAATAGCGGTATGGGTTTGGGTTTTGGTGGTTTTTTTGAGGCATTGTGATTTAGGAAAAAAAGACCTTATTGCCAAAGAATAGTAAATTCAGTTAGTAGAAATAAATATGTATAGGTACATATATATTTAAACTCTGCATGTAATTAGCCATGCATGGATTTTGAAGTGCAAATCTGATTTGCCTTTAAATTTTTTTTTTTAAACAAAACAGCTTTCTTCTGTATTTCATTTCTCTTTTGACAGCTTCTGGGAACTACAATAATACTGAATTTCACTTTCTTTTTTTCCTGCTTTTTAGAGGCTATTACGTGATTTGGGCAGGGTGAGGGGTACTAGGCACAGCATGCAAGCTTAGAGTGCTTTTATTTTCAGAAAAATGACTCTAAAGTCAGCCCATGGGGTCCTTTCATAATCCTTTCCAGTGAAATTTGTCTTTTGCCTGCTCTGTTTACAAGCCAGTCAGCGACACATCTAAATGCTTTTTGGAGTCTAAAAACCGCTGTCCGTGTGTTTGTGAGGGAAGTGGGAGAAGGTAGAGAAGACTTTGCATTTTATACGTTCCCCTGTAATTCTGCTCTCGGACTTCAGCTGGCAGTGTCATCTCTTGCGTTGAAGACGGCCCGGGATGCGGCTGCAGAAGTTGTACGGGACTTCAGTGCATGCGCTTGCTTGGGACTCGGCTGCCGTAGGAAACTCCTTGCAGTTTGCCAACTTCTCTCCCATCTAGGAGCAGCTCATCATGAGTTAGTGGAGTGGAAAGAGGAGTGTAGGAGCCGCTACTTCTGGCTGAAATCACTATGCAGGTAGCCTCTCCAAGGCACGTCCGTGACTGTGTAAGCAAGCCCTACCTCAGCTGCGTAAGCACTCACCTTCAGGAGGACTGCATGTGCTTAGGTGCCTTTTTGGTTTGGGGCCTAATTCCATTAGGTGAGAGCAGTCGGAGCAGGTCTCCGCTGCAAACTGGCCATAGAAGGGCTCTGTGGAGAACCAGGGCAGAAAGCTGAAGTGTCACAAAGTGCTATCTTGTGCCACGTCCCGTTTTTACCTCGTCCAGCATATTTTTTTGATCTGTGCCTGAAGTCAACGTTGTTGAAGTCCTGATTGTCTAAGGAAATAAGCAGGTCAGAGGTTGTAACAGTTTGCTTGAAAGATTGCATACTTTGTTCTATATGAATCATATAATGAAAAGGAAAGTTACTAAACATAGCTTTTTTTTTTGGTAGATTTCAATGGTGGCTGTAATTCACGTTCCTGATGAGAGCTACAGACTTTCCTGTAGAATATTGTATCAGTATCTACTTCTAGCTCAAGGTCAATACCATGATCTGAAGGTAAGCCACATACCAAGTCTTGTTTCATTTGGGCAACAGTGTTAAGTTTAGTTTGTGTAGGCTTTCAGGCGCCTAAATTAGTATAAGACTTTCATTGTCATGCAAAGAACTGGATAATAGTTAAAATTATTTTATCAGTTAAGTAGTTCCAGCCAAAGTTACTGTACAGAAATATTTTATATTAAAATATTTAAGATTTCCTGGAGATACAACTTGATTCTAGTCTAGAGGCCTAGGTCCTGTCCAGTTATTAAAGCAGTAGTAAGACATTAACTAGCTGTCGAATGCTTCCTCTCTTCAGAACATTTATTACCTCCTTGCTAGTCTCAAACCAGCACTTTCTCCTATACTGCCCTTCGATTGGGAAAGCCTCAGGAGAAACTTTTGTTTTAATTTGTTTTTACCGCAGTACATGCACAAAGGTTAGAAATCTGCCTAGCACATACCATTGTAAGTTAAACCAATGTTCTCATAATTCCGTTCTAGTTTCCCTTATCTATGCATGTTGTGGGGCCATCTTTGTCCTGTGTCTGTCAGGCAGTTGATGATGTGATTCTATTTTATATTACTGTGATAATAAAAATAACATACGGTATTGATAAGCTAGAAATTGGGCCAAATTAATTCTGTTGACTCGATCAGCATTCATTCAGAAATAGATTCGTCCAAAGAAATGTTTGTCCTGGCCGTTTTTTGCTGACATAGTTGATCCAGGTAAACTTCCCTGTTGACCCCCTTAAGTTTTCTTTTCGTGTGTGGTTACCATTGTAAAAACACTGCTTAAACTGAGCAGAAATAACTGCGCAGCTGCGTTTCGTGTAGTTGTGTAGTGTGCTCTCTGTGGGCACCTTTGCCTGCGTGGTAGTTTACTGGCTTTATGAAGAGATTGTGCCCAGAAGAATTTGTGCTTCACATAAAATAAGACAAAAAGGAGTAGGGGACTGTAATATGAGCAAGAGCGGAACGGCTCGAGTGAAGTAGATTTGACAGCTTGGTGGATATATTTTTGGCAGGAGTGGATAGAAGCATCCCTCTAGGCATAGAGAATGATATACCAGAAACAGAAACCCGAGCTGCTCAAAACCTGAGCAGTTCTGTTAAAGTTCATGCATGTACATTGAGTTGATTCAGCTAAGGTTTGATAATATCCTTAATATTTTCCCAGTGTTTTATGTAATTTTATGCTTCTGAAATACCTCTAACTGAAGGCCCGGCAACTGTCAGGACTTGCACAAAGAGTGAGTCTGGCACTATTTGACCCAGTAGAAACCAGTGATTCTGACCCAGTGGAACCTGCATCGCATGTGCGTGTTCAGGTATCGGGAGGAGAGTTTGTTGACTTCTAAATGTTTGTGTATATGTGTATTTTAGCAGCTCTTCATGTCTGCAAATAGTACCGCACCATCTTCAAGCGATGCGTCCCCTGGTGAGAGAAGCACTGACAGAAGCTTGCTAGAAAAGGCCGGACTGGCTGAAGATGAACCAGAATTGCATGAAGAAAACAGTAAAGACTGTGTTGTCTGCCAGAATGGCACAGTGAACTGGGTACTCCTGCCCTGCAGGCACGCGTGCTTGTGTGACGGCTGCATTAAGTATTTTCAGCAGTGTCCAATGTGTAGGCAGTTTGTTCAAGAATCTTTTCCGCTTTGCAGTAAAAAGGAGCAAGATGAAGATGAATCAACCCATATCTTGCAAGATGTTCTTCCTGGAAGAGTTTTTTAATGGGGAAGAAATAGAAGAACCGGGTTGTATGCACCAAGATTAAATGTAGAAAACAGACTGTTTATGGGAGGATACGTAGCATTAACTTGTATGGTTTTGCTTTTTATTGTTAGGTAATTTTCAGCTTCCTTATTTTTCTTCACTCCATATGCTCGCAGGAACACTATACTTATCCATGCGATGTGGACAGAAGTGCGTAGGATATCTTTGAAGGATGTGATTTTATTTATAACTTCTTACTAGTTTTTCATGGAGTACTATTGGAGGCTGTTTTGATTGCATTAACTTGTATGGTTTTGCTTTTTATTGTTAGGTAATTTTCAGCTTCCTTATTTTTCTTCACTCCATATGCTCGCAGGAACACTATACTTATCCATGCGATGTGGACAGAAGTGCGTAGGATATCTTTGAAGGATGTGATTTTATTTATAACTTCTTACTAGTTTTTCATGGAGTACTATTGGAGGCTGTTTTGATTACTAAATTTAGTATATCTACTAAAAAAAGAATAAAACTTGCAAGTGAAGTTGCACACAGCTCATTCTATATTTATTGTATTTAAAATACTAGAGCAATATATCATTTTGACTCAGTATAATTTAGAAACATAGCACTTTACAGAATGTATCAAATGAAGGAAAGTAAATATTCTTCATGGTTAAACCCGCGTATATTTATTTTGTAGGTGAAGGCTGGACTGTGACAGGCATTCAGAATATTGTTTCTGGCTGTTTTGAAAGATTTGTGTGTGTGCGTGCGTGAGGGACCTTAGCCAAAGCCCGTTGGAATGAGTGGAAAGACTTTTGTTGGTTATTGTTGGCTTGAACTAAACGTTGCTGATGCTTTCAAGCCTGAGCTTCTGCTATGTCATCTTGAGACACAGACTTTCAATCTTGTTAGCAATGGCTGTAAGAACTTGTTCTCCATGCAAATGTTAGTTAATTACTCCACAGAGTTGTTACTTGGGCAGTTTTGTGGTGCTATTCTTACACGAGTAGCCTGCTTTGGGGAATTTCCAACTCTTTTTACTTGCATTGTCAGCTAAAGAATAGCAGAAAATTATTTCTTTTTCCCTGCAATGGTGTATTGTCAAAAGCAATAAAAATGGCTGTTGAGAAGAGAAATTGTTGGTTTGCTTCTTGAGAGAGAGCTGAATTCTAAAGACAGACGGGCTGGGTTTCACATCTGCTCGTATAAGACAAAAATACAAACGCTCATTAGAACCTGTAGAAAATGGGGAGTAGCTGCTTTCTGTCCTCCCTCTTGTTCCCTTGCAGCTTTGCCCCACATCCAGTTCCAGGACAGCTGCTCAGTCTCGGGGAGAGAAAGCCGTGCTCCAAGCTATTCGGCTGCACTCTCCCGCAGCTCCTTTAACGGTGCTGCCGGTACAAGGTACACACAAGGTGCTGCACGCCTCCAGAATGGGGAAGGAAGCTTCCCCTGCTCAAAGGTATTCCATCTTCATCTTTCTGTCATTCAGGTTTTTGTTTTGCCGCGACCCTGCTTCCAAACTCCTGGCAATTGCCTCTGAGGAAAAGATTTAGGTGGTGGTGGAAAGAGTAATGCTTAGTTGTAAAGACAGAGGTTGGGAATCGATGCGCGTAGCCACAGATTTCCAGCCAGTGATCAGTAGGCTGTTCGTAAGACAATTTATTTGGTCTATGTAAAGTGACCTTCCTTGCCAGGGACAACTCGGGAATAAACTGCTGGCCAAATCAGCCTTTTGTTTGCACTGTATATCAAACAGGAATTCAATACCTAGGTGTCTGTGGGGTCCGATCGGTGCTTGCAGAGAACTTTGGAAGACGGATGGTTCTGTGTGGAAATCATCACGGCAAAGAACGGCGTATATGCTGCAATTCAGGAGGCTGAGAACAGCAAGAGGAGAGCAGAGAAGAATGTAATAGCAGAAGGAATGAGTGCTGGTGGCAGCAAGGCCGTACCTTGGGTAAGAACACAGTGCAGATGTGAAGCAACAACAGTGTGATGCAACTCAAGCAGACCCAGAGCTGCCTGTATAAAGACTATAAATATCATACGGTGTCTTCACCACTCGGGATCAATCACAGAGGCACGATGAGGACTTGTCCTCTGCGTCACTATAGGCAGTCATCACCGCACCACTTAGACTCGTGTGTCTTGGTGCTAGTGAGAATGTGAACGTGTGAGAATGAGCATGAAAGAATGAGTGGGTGAAATCAGTCTTAAAAATCACCTTCCCTTTCTATGTGGTCTTGCATTGAGTTTTGCTAGCTTGGTCGCAGCATACCTGATGGAGGTCGTTGCTGAGTTTAGCCTCCCGATCTGTGTCACTAGCCTTGTTCTGCCATTAAAGGGGAGCAGCTAACGTGATGGTGGTGGAAATAATTACTCTTCAGACTTCCCTTCATATCCGCGTGTCCCCGTTGTGAAACGGAGAGCTGGTGTAAGTTGTTCTAGGCCTCCGTGGGCTCTCAGAAAAATTAGTATAAAGACCGAAGAGCCGGAGCCGTGACAATAGTTGTTTCCATACGAACAGCTTATACTACCAGCATGTGGGACAGTGGCTGTACAGATTGTTACTCCAGAGGAGCAGGTTAGTGCTGCACTGGGTCTAACCTGGAGCTGGGCACTGCTTGATAGTTAGCAGGGACTTGGTTTGTCCACGTAGGTGATCAAAGAGGTGGTGTTTACTGCTTGACCACGGTAGTCCCCGACATTAAATCAATTAATTAAAATTTCCCAAGAAGACAGTGTGATCCAAGCTCGTGGGCTTGTTTAATCTCAAAGTGAAATGGTATTCCCATGAAATGAAATTTTTCATGGGAAAATAAAATTTCAATGAAATTCCCCACAGAGAATTGCCTCGTCTGTCTCATCCTTCAACCAATCGATGCCAGTATTAAATAATCATGGCAAACAGTATGCAGCCGTGCTGAACTGCCAGGCTGTGTATTTACCATTAAGTCTATCCCAGCTTTTCATTTGTTTCATGTTCTTTTAATAGCATTTTCCAGAGATGCTCAGCTGCTTTATCAGATCTAACAAGCTTCCTTGCTGGCCCAAATCAAAGACCTGACTGAGAGTTATAAATAAGTACAGTAGCCGGCTTGTTACGTTTGCCCTTCTTCTAAGAAGCCATCTCAAAATATAGATCAGGTGAGAAGTAAAAGGAGCAGCTCTAAAGCTGCCTTGTGTGTCCCTTGGTTGTCTTAAAACAGGGAGTCAAGGCTCTAAGAGAAATAAAACCTCTCCGTGACCCACAAAAACACAGTATATTGACAGAGGCTGTTCTGCTCTGTCGCCCTGTTGTAATAGAGGTAATACAACATTCCTCTTCCACTCATTATAGATGATCTTTATGGATTTGGTGACGTCAAGAAACACATGCAGACTTCTGGCAACAAGACTTGCTTCTTTTCAGCAGCGTTTGGGTATTACAAATTTGTAATGATTTTTGCTGCAGGAGAGAGGTGGGAGGTACCTCACCGCTTGGTTTGGTTCATCAACTGTAATCAGAGCTGGGGCTTCGAAAAGAGTTGATCAAACTAAGCGGTGTTACTGCGGGATGTCCCAGGGTGCCCTTCCGAAGGCCAATGGACTATGACGTGGACATCTTCCTTCTGTTAGAGAAAGTTGTTCTGTTAGGATCTTCCTTCCTCCCTACCTGCCTCCTCCAAGTAGAGGGCAGATGGTAGGAGGGGGACAAATTGGGTCAATTCATCTCAAAACGGTCTTCCCATTCCCATGAGGAATTCAGAATTCCCATAAGGCGCGTTGAGAACTGGCTAATGCCCTGACCCCCTACTCTTCGAGGGCTAAAATGGTGCTGCGTTCCGCTACGGACCCTATAAAGTCTCACCACCGCCACTGAGGACGACCATTGGCCATCAGAGCACCGAGGCTGGCTGCTGGGCTACCGGTAGCCAACACTGCCAACCTGGCATGATGCTGTTCCCCACCAGGGAATAAGGGAAGGGGGAGTTCAGCATCTTGTGTTTTGGTGGGTCTGAGCAGATGAGAACCCATGTATGTGTTTTCTTCAGCTTTAAGACAAGCTGCTGTGTGAATCGGATTAAAATGACTTACTTGTTAACATCAAATTTAAAACTGTAAGTACGGTGAAAGGAATCGGGAATCAGGGTCTGAGTTTCTCCCGCTCGTTCGTGCGTTGCTCAGTCCCCCCACGCCCTGGTGAAGCTCTGCAAGGTCTGCTGGGTGAAGGAGGTCCGGGGCCGACGTGTGTAACAGGGAAGTCTCTGCAGTAACTGGCCACCAGTCACAGTTTGCTCAGTTGTCCTGATATCCAGAATAAACAAGGACTGGCCTCTGTCACTGCAGCAGACGTGCAGCCCCTGCAAAGGCTGTCCCTGGTGTCCTGTATGTTTATAGCTAATGTAATTAATGCCAGGAATAGCTGAATTTTATCTGATACAGCAGAAGTCCTCCTCTGATCTAAGCCATTAGAAAGGCTTGGTACTGTCTTGCTGGAGTGTGCTGGGCAGGAAGGGCAAAGAGAAAACCAGCATTAGGGTTATATTTCTGGATAACTTTAGCATTACTACCATTTTAACGTTGCTTTGACGGCATACGGTGGCCTCGTAATGCAAATGCATACCTGAGCGCAGCTATCAGGCCACAACCGAGCATTGGAGAGTCCCATGCTTTGCAGGGTCCCCCACAAACAGCCAGACCCCGCTCCCTGCCTTGCCACTGCTCCCTGAAGCAGTGCTAGCCACGATCCCCTGGGATGTTTGCCCAGCTAGCGACCACAGAGGGGCTCAGAAAGTCTCTGCTGAACAGCGCGGAGTCATTCAGGCGGCTCTACACGTTGTTTCTGTATTGCTTTTACTCCCTCGTGTCCATGAGTGATGTGGGTAGAGAGATACGAGCTTGTAGTGCAGCGACGGTTATACCTGTAGAAAGGGGCTTCTGCTGGTTTGGTTCCATAAATTTGTAGGAATGTGCAACACCTCCATAAAGGCATCGTTGTCTGGATGCTGCTGCATCTGAGCTAGGAGAGTGCCTGCTTTAATTATGCCATCTCGTAATGGGAATGATTTAAAACAGTAAAGATACTATATGTAAACATAGTCTTAAGACTAGATGAAGTCTTCAGCGGAGTCTGATGTCCAAAGTGAGGAGTCTCTCTCTTTCTCCGACAGTATTTTGAAAAGCAATGACAGATTATAAATTCACGCTGAGGTTACTGAGCTTTCATTAGGGTTCAAAGGAACCCAAAAAACTCCTTTCATTCCTCCTCCCTACACATGTACTCCTCGGCCATAGAAAGGGCAACACCGTGACATCCGTCATCGTCATGGCACGATGAGTCACTGCATTGCCATTCTTTAGAAAACACCTGTACAGCCTGTGCAGTGTCCGGGTGCTCCTGAGGGTCGAGTGAATTCCAGAATTACTTCTGTGGGACCAGCAATAAATTATCTGGGCAATTAGTTGCTACCTGTGTTTTATATCCTCAGTCTGTGGTGTCCTCGTATCAGCACAGACCTTGTATCTAGAAAGCTTTTCTAGGTTTTAGATGCCTCCTCCAGCTTTTTGTCTTCATCAAATGAGGGTTTTTGGTGGTTCCTAATATTTTTTACTCTCCCATTGCATAGCCACTTCACATCTAATATTTCTTGGCAGATTTTTCAATAGTAGCTGTAGTCAGGGGACTGGTGAGGAGTCTAATGCATCACTTACCTCTCTCATAGTGCTATTTATTTCAGCGTCTATCAGCTCCTTGTTAGCAATATTTTAACGAACGGGCTAGAGGGAGGATTGCTAACTTGTGAATTATTTTGATAGTTGTTCCTCTTCTTCTTTTCTTCTTTTAACTCTGCAGATGCTGTTGAGTTCGGAGGCAGTGAGACCCCAGAGATCTACCAGGGGTCATCACGCACCAATCTCCTGCCACCAGAACTGACCGTGAGATACAGATGTTCTGTTGCTTCTTAGCTGGCCAAATGCAACACAGACACCGTGCTCGAAGCTATTGGATTTTGGCCTCCAGTTCTCGATTTCAAGGATTTCCCCTGTAGGGAAAGAGCCTAGACTGCAAGCTCAAAATGCACCAGCTTGCAGGAAGCCTGGGGTGGGCTATTGCTGGCAGCGAGGCTGAGGATAATT